AAATGAGCTCCAGGCTTAAAATTGGTGATAAAAATTTGTTAGTAACATATTCATATAAAATTGTCTTCCAAATAAATTAAGCCATTAAAAGAAAAAGTGGACATGTCAATGGAGTTGGAACTCTCTCATCTTGACAAGGACATTGAGCTAAGAGTGAGATGTTTTACACAAACACTGTGAGTGTTTTTCCAATTCCATTAAGAGTTGGCAGTTAACTGGAACAACAAAGTTTCTTCATACTACACATTCACTTTAGTCATGCCGATTAACATCAAACATATAGAATTCCACAAGCTTATCTTACAAAACTAAAAAATAATTGTTGAATCCTGTGTGAAGGCAGGTATTTGTGAAGAATGTTTCAAGTTGAAATTTGCAACTTTATTTGGTTTCTAACAGACTGTGTACATTTATAATGTCTAGACAGTATATAGACAAGTGTCTAGAAAAAACAATCACACTGTCTCAATGTGTGGCAGGGTGTCAAATCTTTGAAAATGTATGGCTCCAATCCAAATGCATCTGTAACTGTGTTGATGACATCTAATAACAGTTTCATCCTGATTTGAATTCATTAAAATCATTTATCCACAAATAACACCTTCCAGTGCCATTGTAGGTGATTGTACTCCCAAATCATTACTGAAAGAACATACTTTTTGAACTGCATGAGGCATTCTGAGTGATATCTTTCATCCACTTGGCTGAAAACTAGTTGGGGTTGGTCACTGGCTGATGAAAAGCTGCTCTTATTGGAAAATGACAATTGACTCAATGAACACAAATACTCTGTGAGTAAGAACATGGATAGCACAGTGCTTGCAGCATTTGCCAAACAGCAGGAGGTCAAAGTATATTGGAATCAAGTCTCAATTAGAGTCACGAATTCCAAACAAGCAGTGAAGCATCTTGAAAAGATAGAGATACACAAGGCTCACATAAGCAAGGGATGCATTAATCATAGAGATGTGGAAGGGTTATCTTATGCCTGGAAATCTTTTTACAATAACGCAGATTAATGCAATGTAATCAATGCATATTTCCTGTTGGCAGCTTTATTTTTATGTTCTTTGTAAGTTACTTATAGATAATCTGAAGACACAAGTCAGATGAACTGCACATGCTTGTTTTGGATTCTGTTTAATTTGTATTTTATATATTCCATTTTAATGTTCTTTTTTAATATTGGTTTAACTGAAGATGACTGTTAAAAAACGGTTGAAAACGTTTTTGTCATATTAAACATTTTTATTGCTGGATGGTTAAAGGTGTTATTTATATTGTTTACGTTTATTCCAGTATAAGTTCTTGTTTTATTTATTTAGATACAAAGTTTGGATATAGACTCATACCCACTGTCTAAATTGACCTTTAAACTAAGGTGACCAGATTTTAACATTGGTGAAGTAGGACAAAATTGACAGGGGAAGTAGTTGTCTTGTTGAAAAAAATTGTTCTAGAGCAACAAAATTTTATTATCAAAGAATGCAAAAATTGTATTGTATTATATATTTTTTAATTTCAACATATGTAAATTTACAAATAAAATAAATAAATAAATATATAAATATTTATGTTTTAATTAAATGTGTTTTTTTAATTTCTATTATTTAATTTTACTTCAATAACATCTAAAATATTCATAAAAGTAACTCATTAATTATGAAAAATTCATTTCCGTTGACGAGTAAACGATAAATTTTTTGGATATTTTAATAAATATTTCCAATTTTTAGCTTTTAAAAAGGATTTTAAACTAAATTTATTGTTATTACTGCTGTTTTTAGCTTTAAAATTGCTTATTTTATTAATATAATTGCTTCATAATATGGAAAAATTGTTTCAAAAAATAAGAAAATTCTATTTAATACCGTTATNCTATTATATATATATATACTATTATAAATCTTTAAAAAATCTTTATTCTTTTGCATATTTCTCAGTTGAGTGAATTTTTTTAGTAAATTCTTGTTGTTTAAAATGTCATGAAATTTTTCGCAAGAATTTGTTAAATTATATTTCACACATAATATGGCTTTCAAAGTCTCAACCAGGGCTGTAGAGTCAGTAAAAAACCACTTGACTCCGACTCACAACTCCAGCAAAATTAAAAACCAAGTCATTTTATGGGGGCTGAGGTGCTCATAGGGAGTACCCTACTCTGAACTCTGAAAGGAACCCCTGGCATTTACCCAAATACTTTTAAAGTTAGTATTTTTAATATTTAACTTACATTAATATTTATTTGTATAAAAAAATTAATTTTTAACAAATATTTAATAAGAGGAGAAAGGGAGAGATAAAATTCAAGATCTACATATCTTTATTCTACAACATTTGCACTTCAATTTTACCTTTCCAGAAAAGTTAGTTCAACTAAAAAGTGTGTAATCTAGCTACTTCAGCCCCTTTAATCAGAAAAGAAAAATATATACTCTGATCAATTAGTCTTACTCATTTAGAAAAATAGAGTACTCATTTCGAGCAGGTATAATAAAGAATGATTCAAAAATATTCAAATTCAATTAAGTCAAAACAATTTAACTAGTAAATACAAATACAGTAGAGCCTCAAACTCGGCTTAATGTGGACCGAAGGGTGGCCGAGTTTGTGAAAATGCCAGGTTATCGGGAATGGCGTTAAAAAAATAAGTATGAGTGTGGAGTCCTCAGAAAATACTGTACTATACTTGTATGTATTGTTTGTTTGAGAATACAACAAAGAATAAACTGCCCAAATATCCTTAAACAAAGGAAAAGTACGTCTTTTATGAAGGCATAGAGCCTTTACTACATAAAAATGAAAATTAAAATGAAAACACTGTACAGTAATTTATCTGATAAAACAGACCTCAGAAAAATACTTTGAGGCATAAAGCTGTCTTTATCATGAAAATTAATTAAGGATTTTTTTTGCCCTGCCAGGGTGTGGCCGTGTTATCCAGAGTGCCGGGCTATCGAGTGTCGAGTTTTCGAGGCTCTACTGTACCACAAAGAAAACTGCATATTTAATAAATTATATCGTTGCATTTTATATTTAAAATGAATGAATAATAACAAAATACAAAAACATTTTTAAAAAATTATTAAATACAAAAATTTTTTTTTCATTTAAATAAAAAACTAAATTAAATTTGAAATGCTGGAGTCAGAGTCAACACATTTTTCCCGACTCCTACTCCTCTGGCAAGAAATTCCTCCCGACTCTACTCCACAGCCCTGGTCTCAACACTTAATTGTGATTTATCAGATGTCCACACTTTATTTACAGTAGAAAAAAATGCATTCAGTTGCGGTATTAGTTCCTGAAAACATAGCACATATTCCACAATTTTTAATGCATTATTGTATGGAACATAGTTTGTTTCAAAACGATGAAATATTTAACCATTTGTTCTCTGTTGAGATTTTTGCTGTTGCCCAAGATTTAGCCTTTTCCTTATCAATATATTTTTTTAATAATGATACCTCATTAAAAAGATAATTTTCAGAAATATTATTATGTGGAAAATATTGACTAATATGATCAAATGATTTTTGCACATCTTCCCAATTAAGTTCTTGTTTTAATATAACCCAATGAAAGTGTCACTTTATTATTGTAATTTTTTTATTATATAACTAGCATATAAACCCGACATTGCTTGGGCAAAAAGTAATGATAGCAATGATTAAGATTATTACATTATAGCCAATCTTACCCATTTTCACATAATGAAAGAATTAGGTCCCCCTGTTTCCAGACTAATTGGAAAATTTTTAGATGGTTCTAAAAATATGTTTGATTTCCCACAAAAATGCAAAAAACTACATCTGCACCTGTAAATCTTGCACGTTGCTTTCTCTTAACACTTCTTCCGTGGGGAAGTGTTAAGAATTCAAAATCCCTTCTTAGTGTATGTTCTCATGACGTACCCTAACTGTGTACCAAATTTCAACCTTCAACTCCTAACCGTTTCGGCTCTGCGCTTATTATTATTATTATTATTATCAACCCATCTCAATTTTATATATATATATAGATACTGTCGTAACTAAAATGAACCTCAGCCCATCACTAGCAATACAATGATACACACACTAGTCGTTAGCTTTCTAAGGCGTCGACAGACAAGAGCTCTGTAACATACAACAAACAAAATGCTTGTTCATTTGGACAGCTTGTGAACACGTGCTGCTCCGTTGCTGCAGTTGCGCTCCTCAAACCATTTTCTGTCGGTCTTTGCCATGAATACAAAGGGTTTTGTTGGCACAGCATTCTTTATTTCCGATCAGTACCACACACACCTTGGTACTGATACCTATGATACAAAATGATCTTTACGAATCTTAAACATAAGACATAAGTTTATGATACATAATTGACAAAAACTTAAACTTTCTAAAACTCAGGACCTTTTTAAAACGCCACAGGACACGGGACAAATTGTTAAAAATTGGGACTGTTCCATCAAAAGCAAGACATCTGGTCACCTTACTTTAAATAAGCAGTAGATAAACTAGGCTAGAACTGAAATGTGGATATAGTATATTATAGCATATGGTAAAAATGTATAAGAATACATCAAGTGCACCTTCATGCATACTTCAAGGAGATTTTTTTTATTTTTCGTTAACTAGATTACAACTTTGTGGAAACCCTAAGACTTCACATTTAAAACAGATATTTATTAGTTAGTTTAATGGGAATTATTACTTGATGAGAGAACATAATTATGGTGATCATATGATTCTTCAATAATTTAAAATTAGAATTGTTACGAAATTTATGAAGTGAAACAATTTAATATTGGAAGAAAATAATTTTAACATCATCTTTGTCAAGAAATAAAATTTCTATAATAAAATTTCAGAGTTTTAGCTTATATAACTCATTATTTCTGATTATTTTTATGAAATGTAGTGCATATATTTTATTAAAATTAAAAATATTATAAAAATTTGATCAATGGTTTTATTAAACAACTTAATTTTTCTTTTATTCTTAATTATTATTTTCAGAAAAGTGTCTAAAAGATTTTCATTAAAATTTATGAAGAAGCTGTATTGTATTAATTTGGTTAATGAATTAATCTCAGAAACTGAATTATCTTTTTCATCAAATTAGTGAGATGATGAGCTTTTACTGTGTCAAATTAATTGCTAACAAACTATTGGACTAATTTTCAGTTTGAATATTAAAGGTGAGGAACATTTAATCTGCTTAGCTGATTATATATAATTTATTTAATGTGAATATTGATATGTATATTATTTTAGATTAAAATTATCTATAAATTCTTTAACCAACGTGATGGATGAACAACTCTTATTTAATCTTTTTTGAGAAATTGATAATTTTGATGTTTGTGACTAAAATTTAAATGTTTTCCCAAAAGAAGTTTGTGTTCCAAATGATTTTATACAGGGTTTTCCAAAATGAATGCTACCATCTGCATTCAGATGTCTCAGGTCATCTAAGACCTGTAGGAAGTACCATAAAACAAAAATGGCAATTTCACAGTAGAGAAAGCATTTTGTTTTCTATAATTCTCAAAGTCAGAATCACTTGTCATTATGCAATGTGAGTAATCTGCAGGAGCTGTAGAATTGTGGATGCTTTGGGAGGAGTGACAATGGCTATAGCAAGTAGGAAGAATTTGAATATTATTGGATGTGTGCAATGTGATGAATTGAGAAGTCATAATGGGCAAATGTGAAGCTTGGACAGTTTCCAGTGCTTTAGTATACATTACAATGCTCTCAGATAATAATTAACATTGGTATCATTTTAAATTACAGTATTGTAATTTTCTTTTTGGAAGGCCTTGTATTTTAATTACATATTTCAATAATTAGTTTGGTGTTTTTTACACAGAACTATTTATTTCAGATGTTCAAGTTTCCCAATAATTTTTTTGTTAAGATTGAGAATTTTATGATTGTGTTTGACTATTGCATTATTGAATGTATTACAGTAGAGTCCTGCTAGTCTGAACACCGCTAATCCAAACATGTTTGAGTTGGTGGAGAGGAAATTTGTTAGCTTACAAAATATACATTTTTTTTTTTCCAGTTGAATTTAAATGGTATTAATGGTACAAAAAGATTTAGAATTCCACAACAAAAAAAAATTGTTTTTTTATTGTAGTACTGTATTAATACTGTACAAAATTAATAAATCAGTGTTTGACATGGCCTATTAAAACAGCAAATCTATACTGTACTTACACACAAAAACAGAAACAAAAGTCATTGATAATGTTGGATCTATATATAGTCAACCCCCTATAACACTGTTAATTTTTCCATTTTATATGAATTCCATGTTGTACGAGTCACTTAGATTTTACAAATATGTGAGCCGTTCACAGCCCAGCACACGTATTTGTAAAATCAAAGTGACTTGTACGTGAAATTCATATAAAACGGAAAAATCAACAGTGTTATAGGGGGTCGACTGTAAACCGGACCAGTTTCACTGCTTGCTTTTGCATTATTTCAATTATTCGGCTAATCTGAAAATCTGCTAATCCGATCAGAGCTTGGTCCCAATTAGTTCGGACTAGTGGGACTCTACTGTATTATTACTGTAAATTATAATGAATTTAGTTGTAAATTTAAATATTAATTTGAGTGTCTTCATTACATTTGTATTTTTGAATAGAAACTATAATTATTCATTTTAAGAATGCCTGTTTAATTTTGTGGGCTTTGTTTGTATTCAAGGCAAGGTGTGTTAGCTAGTGTGACATTGATCTGCCAAGTAATGTAGCAAGTATTTGTGTTTTTGCAGATTAGGATTTTTTTTTAATCCCTGCTAGCTTTGAATCCATTGTACTCCCTTTCCAATGACTAACTAAAGTTGATGTTGAAACTAGAAGTAATAAGACATGGAACCTGCACATTGCTTGTTCCCCTGGGCTTCAAAGCAGTAGGTTTGGGTTTGTGTATGTGTATACTGTATATATATATATAACTACTCACTGCATCATTTTTTTGGAATTTCATGAAAAATAATTAAACATTTTTAAACATTTACTTTTTATAAAAGAACTTTTATTTACATCATCATCATCTAATTATATTTAGTTAACTTAATTTTGTCTGTCTACATCATACTTTTATTTCATTTTGTAGGCTGAATTATTTTTGGTTTTTTTTAATATTATACAAACTTTATTACTAATGTAGATTTTTCAATAAAAATATTAAGTTATAACAATTTCCCTATCAGTCCAAGCAGTGCACTTTGATCTTTTTGAATAGGATTCTAATGATTTTTTCATGGTGAGAAAAGACAGTTTACAGCCAGGTGATCTGCCAAATTATCAGGATATGATTGGGCTTAGTTAATAACTAAATATGAATGACACAGTTTACATAACTAATGAAAATTTAATATATTCCATCATACATTTGGAGACAAATGTGCAGGAATCTGCAGGCATGCACATTAAAAGATTTCATATTAATAGTAAAATTACAAAACAAATACACACTTTACAAAATTCTTGGTGGGAAGACTTCCAAAGATTCTCATCTACACTTTCCAGATGATGCTCAGGGTTTATGGTGTTGGATTTTTCTTCAATGAACATTCAATCCATCTGTTGACTCCAGAATCAGAGAGAAAGAAAATGAAACCAGAGACTCTCTACTCACACAAATAACTTCTTATCAGGGAGTCAGCCCAGTAGTGTTTTCATATAAGAGGTAAAAAATTTCAATCAGAAATGGGAAATGTCCTATATAAATATATAAGTTAAGGTATATGAGGTCTGTTCAAAAAGTATCGGACCTTTGGTTGGCAAAAATAAATTTATTGATTTTGAGGTACGAAACCCTAATCCCCTTCAAAGTAGTCTCCTTGGTAATGTATACACTTCTCCCAGCATTCCTGCCATTGCTGGAAACACTGCTGGAATGCATCTTTTGGAATGGCCATCAGCCGGTCCGTCAGATTCCGCACGATGTCTTCTCTTGACTAAATTCGGGTTCCTTTTAGCGGCATTTTCCGCTTGGGAAATAGCCAAAGGTCACACAGAGCCATGTGGGGAGAGTACGGAGCGTGACGAACCACAGGAGTATTGTGTTTGGCGACGAAAGCCAGAATCAGATGCGCAGAATGGGCAGATGCGTTATCACGATGGAGCTGCCAAGTTTTGATCGACTACAGATCCGGTCGTTTGCGTCGCACAGCATCGAAAAGACGACGAAGGACCTCCTGGTAGTACTCCTTTGCGATGGTTTGGCCTTGTGGTGAGTACTCACGATACACCACCCCACGAGAGTCAAAAAAACTGTCAACATGATCTTGATATTGCTGCGGACCTGCCGCGCTTTTCAGCAGGCTTTCGGGGACACCGATCGTCCCCGAAAGCCTGCTGAATCTTGCGAATGGTTTACACTTGGGTATTGCCAAGGTTTTTGGCAAAATTTGATGTAATATCGCTGCTCATGTTGTTCAGTCATTTTCCAGCTTAGTGGAATCCAACGAGAGCGCACTACATGATCTCACTCGTAGGCCGATTGCCAACGACTGACACTTCCTGCAGGCGGGAAAAAATTCAGGGCTGTGCATGACTGTCCCCTCCACAACTCTACCGAAGGAGGCCTCTCGCACATCATTGGTTTACGCAGGAAAAAAAAAATGTCCGATACTTTTTGAACAGACCTTGTAAACCTACAAAGGCTTATTTGAAGAATCTTAATAAATTATTATTATTATCATCATTTTTGATTATAAACATTTTATAGACATTATTACAAAAGTTGGTTTTAGCCATTGGTATAATAAATTAATTAAAATATCTACAAATGTGAGGCAGATAATAGTAAGGGCTTATCACACCAATAGTCTATTTACTGTATTTCATCCTTTAATAGATGAGGGTTCATGTGATAAGCCCTTACTATAATCTGCCTCACGTTTGTAGATATTTTAATTAATTTAATTTTATAGACATTTCAATTAGATAATGGTTGATGGAACAGTTTAAAATTTCTCCAAGTTTGCAAATGTATTAAGATTCCTAAATAAATCTAACATTGTATTCAGACTCAAAAATTACCTAGATATGGCCCTCAGTACAAATCAGGGCCATATCAGGGATTATCTTAAAGGGCAATATCGGGACACCTTATATACAAAGTCAGCTTAGGCTGATGAGCATGGAGATGAGGACTTTGTGAGGAAGGAAGGTGGGCTCTGACAAATGAGTGATGCCAAAGAAAGCAAAATTACAAAAAAATTGAAAACTTGTTACATTATAGTAATAAATGTACTAGTATGTACTAATTAGCATACATTTATTACTATAATGTAACTGTTATATGTTTGATCAGCCACTGTGAAGGAGCACTTTCTTTATTTTACAGGAAAACACTATATATCCAATCCAAAAAATATTTTAAAAAAATATTATTATATAAGAATATCATTTAATATTCTTAGTTTCTAATGAAAAATATTAAAATTTCTTAATATTACATTTAATTTTTCATTTTAGTTCAATGGACGAATCAAAGGATAATGTGAAAGAGGATGATTATCCAGATCCACCAGTTTTATCTCCAATGGAAGTTATGGAGTATGATAAAATGATTCCTTCTGATGATAAAGAGAAACAGTTAGATAAATCACAACCTGCAGGACTTGTGTTAGATGATGATAGTTCAATAAGCAAAGATTCTACAACTCACCAACTTTCAAATGAATCAAAGAAAAAACATTCAAAAATGAATAAAAGTACTTTTGAATATCAGTTTCAGTTAAGGCAGTATCATATTGTAAAAGGTCAAAAATTATTTAAATGTGATATCTGTTCAGGAACTTACAGATACGCTTTTAGTTTGAAACGTCACTTTTTGCGCAACCACATTAATTATAAATATTTATCAAAAGCAGATATATCCAACTGTAATATAAATGTATCTCTCATCAGTGATAATAACAAACGATTAAATAACAGTCAGCAAGATAATTCGGCAGAAGGAAGTTTAATTCAAGAACCTGGTGATGCACTTGTTGAAAATAGTCAAATAACCTTTCCAAGTTTATATAGTTGCTATTTATGTTGTGAGTACTTCCATAATAAGATAGACTTAAAAAATCACATTGAAAATCATTCTGTTGTTGTGAAACAGAAAGAATTTAAATGCGACAAGTGTGACATTAAGTTTACATTAAAGAAAAATCTTCTACGTCATGTGGCAGCTCATAACAGTGAAAAGTCTTTTATTTGTAAATATTGTGGTAAACAATTTCTTACGCTAGCAAGTCAGAAAAAACATGAAAGAATTCATGAAGGGAAGAAATCTTACAGGTGTATATACTGTACCTTAATTTTTTCTTGTAACAATGACTTAATTGAACATATACAAAATCATCATAAAGATTTCTATTATCCTTGTAAAATTTGCTCAAAATATTTTGATAATGAGCATTCATTATCAGAGCACATGGAACAGCACATGGACTTTTCATTATTAAATAATAATTCACAAAACAGCCAATCTCCTCTAAATGAAATAAATAAAAATTTCCTATGTGATGATGATGCATTAGAAATGAATGATATCTGTAATAAATTTGATTATACTTGCACAGTCTGTAAGAAAAAATTTATGTCATTCGTAAATATGTGTCGTCATAGACGGCTTGCTCATCAGAATTCTGCCAAAAAACGAGGAAGACCACAAAAATCTAAAATTAATAAAATAGATAATGAAGATAAAATAGCATTTAATAATGTTCCAGAAAGATCAGAGTCTGAATTTTATATGAATATTGCTCAAAAAATATCTGATAATTTGATCAATTATATCGATGGGAATGTTCTGCAGATAAAGCAATATAATAATGCAAATAATTTAGATGAATCTTCTCTTGTAAACAATGAAGTTAATATATCATGGGATGCTTATAATTTTCCACCTAGTTTTGATTATCATCAATTAGAAATGTCAGAACCTGAGCCTGATACAATTAATGTTGAAAGTGACTGTGATAATGCAAATTATAACTTCAATTCCTATAATGACAATGTGACAATTGGCATCAATTCTCCAAATAATTCTGTTATCTTAGATGATAAAAAGTATTCAGACATGGAAAGTATAAATGGCTTTTCAACAGATGAAGAGAAAATTAGCAATATCCCGTTAATTGGCCAAAATATTCCACTAACGTATATATGTTGTGCTTGTGTAGAAAGGTTTCATTCAGTTGTAGCCATTGAGGAGCACAAATTAAATAATCATCCAAATGTATTCTGTACTCATATTGAAATTGAAGGAGAAAAAAATGTTCCTCCAGAATTTTGTAAACAATTCTGCAATCCTGTTGGTCTTCTGAAACGTTATATTGTTCCTTCAATAAATGCTCAAGAAAATAATGGGTTAACTTGTACTAAGTGCAAAATGGTATTTACATCTGTCTCTGATCTTCATTTGCATATATTGGAATGTGGAGGGCATGACAACTGCAAACAATATAAAAGTGAAAACTATGGTAAAAGGAAAGGAGTTAGGAAAAAGAGACTGAGAGAAGTTAAATGCCAAACATATTCACCTCCAAAGAGAAAATGTACTGAAAGAAGTCCTAAGGGAAAGGTCATTAAAGATGATGATATAGAAAAAATTGATTGCTTTATAGAACAAGAAATGAAAGAAAACCAAGCAGCTCGTGAAACATACTCATGCAAAGATTGCTCAAAGGTTTTTAATCATTTGTCAACATTTGAGAGACATAAACGGAGCTGCAGGCAAAAGTTAACATTAGATAGAAGTTCACACAGAAAACTTCATATGAAAAACACAAAAACTGCTGGTCAACATTCATGTCCTTATTGTAAAAGAACTTTTACATACAAGACTAGTCTTAAGAAACATTTAAAAAATACTTGTGCTAAAAAGATAAAATGTAAAGTTAGAAGTCATTTATCAAATACCAAAACTAAATTAGAGACTTCAGAACAAATTTCTGTAAGAAGAATTGAAGATCTTGTTGAGCATTCAGATTATACATTGGAAAATCTGAATTTTAAGGATGGTGAGAATTTAAATGATTTATCTGAAACAAACAATATGAAAATTCTTGAAGACGATGTTAAAATTGAGACAGTAAATGAAGTTGATCAAAAATCTGATTGTGTTGAAAGTGATTTATGTAGCATTGAGAATACAAAACATGATATTATTATAGAAAACGAAGAACTGCTGTCACTCAAACAAATTCAGAACAATGAAAATTTGCACAATGAACTATTATTAGAAAACGGAACAATAGTAAAACAGGAAAATAATTTACAGCGTGGTCTTTTTCCACAACAGCGATGTTGTCCCCATTGTCTTCGTTCTTTTGCTTATTTAGCAAATTTCAGAAGACACATGAAAGAAATATGTCCTGTAAAAAAACAACTTGTCAAAGAAAATGAAGAAAATGGAATCAAATCAAAGTGTTCCCTGCCTATTTATAATGTGACAACATTTTCAGTTAAAGGAAAAATTGAAGATTCTGTTATTGGTCTATTAAGAGATCAATCACGGCAAATTGAATTGATGAAAGGAACCGAACCTGAAGAAAATAACCCAACACCATCTTCTCGTTTCCGAACATTTTCATGCAAAGTATGTCATAAGATTTTTCTTTCTTTGGTGAAAATGCTTCAGCATAGACTTTCACACAAGTTGCAATCAGATGAATCTGAAGATTTACCAAAATTAGATTTAGGTCTAATGAAAAAATTACAAGAAAATTCTATAAAAACTGAAGTTTACAAAGAGCACAACAACCAAGAAATTTTGAATGAGTTTGATGAATTTCTAAGCAAACCAAATGCCAAATCAGACAAAGAGGCAGATAACAACATTGTATCAGAAGAATCAAGTGAAATGTCAAACATTGAAAACAATAAAAATAGAGATTTTAATTGTGAAAAGTGTGAGAAAACATTTCCAAATAACTCTTCCAGACAAAGACACTACAAACTTGCTCATAAAGAATTAATTAATAAAAAATCTTTAGCTCCTTTAGATATTAAAGTATATAAAAGTCCCAAAGGAAAGGCCAAGAAAAGTTTGTTAAAGTCGACTACCGAAACAGATAAACAAAACTACTCCGACAAAAATGTTTCTGAATGCAATAAGGATCAGCTTAGTTGAAGAGTGAAAAGTTACTTTTATTAGTTACGACAATTATTTTTAATAATGTAAATACAGATGTATCATTAAAAAAACAACAGTACATAGTAATTTATGAAAAAGACTAAATGCACTCATTGTCATTTCTCGTATCATGCAGTAAAAGTATCTGTTTCCTTTGAACTTTGTTAATATATATAATATATTATTGCTGATATAGATTGTTTTATAACAGAATGCAATAAATAAAATAATGGTAACTGTATTATTAATAGTTATTTTTTGAATGTTATGTAATAATGACATATACTGCCTCTTTGTATGAATGTAATATTATAAAATTGAATTTTTAGATCAATTGTGTTTTAAATACTTTGCATAGGAAGAAATGTATTTATGTTGTTTTTAATAAAAGCAATCTATGTATATTAGAACTGTTTAATTCATTTTCTATTTATGTTCTAAGATATATATATATATATTTATATTATTATTTTTTTAATTTTGTGCATATATATTGTAACAGCAAAGCAAAAATATTAGCAAATATTCTTGTCTGTATAATTTAAAAATATAAGATACAAGGTGTGTTCAAAAAGTATCGGACCTTTGGTCGGCAAAAATAAATTTATTGACTTTGAGGTACAAAACCCTAATCCCCTTCGAAGTAGTCTCCTTGGTAATGTATACACTTCTCCCAGCGTTCCTGCCATTGCTGGAAACACCGCTGGAACGCATCTTTTGGAATGGCCATCAGCCGGTCCGTCAGATTCCGCACGATGTCTTCTCTTGACTAAATTCGGGTTCCTTTTAGCGGCATTTTCCGCTTGGGAAATAGCCAAAGGTCACACAGAGCCATGTGGGGAGAGTACGGAGCGTGACGAACCACAGGAGTATTGTGTTTGGCGACGAAAGCCAGAATCAGATGCGCAGAATGGGCAGATGCGTTATCACGATGGAGCTGCCAAGTTTTGATCGACCACAGATCCGGTCGTTTGCGTCGCACTGTATCAGAAAGACAACAAAGGACCTCCTGGTAGTACTCCTTTGCGATGGTTTGGCCTTGTGGTGCGTACTCACGACACACCACCCCACGAGAGTCGAAAAAACTGTCAACGTGACCTTTGATATTGCTGCGGACTTGCCGCGCTTTTTTTTGGCCTTGAGGATCGTCCCCGAAAGCCTGCTGAATCTTGCGAATGGTTTACGCTTCGGTATTGCCAAGGTTTTTGGCAAAATTTGATGTAATATCGCTGCTCACGTTGTTCAGTCGTTTTCCAGCTTACAAGGGAACTGTCGGAGTGTCTTCTAATAAATTTTAATAAAATTTAGTTAATAATTACGTTAAAAGTATACAAACTCTATTTTAAATTTGTAGCATTCACTAAAAGTGTTGATCAGAGTTATTAACAATCAAATGTTGCACTACTTTATAGTAGTTGAACACTATTATGCAAATTTTTAGAAGTGAAAGGGTCGCGGAGAAAGACGGCAATATTACATTTAGAATAAATTCTGGAATTTTCAAAAATGGTTGAAGAATTAATAAAATTTTGTATACTTTTAACATAATTATTAACTAAATTTGATTAATTCTTCTCCCATTTTTGAAAATTCCATTATTTATTCTTAAATGTAATATCGCAGTCTTCCTCCGCGACCCTTTCACTTCTAAAAATTTGTGTAATTGTGTTAAACTACTATAAAGTAGTGCAACATTTGATTGCTAATAACTCTGATCAACACTTTTAGTGAATGCTACAAATTTAAAATAGAGTTTGCATACTTTTAACGTAATTATTAACTAAATATTATTAAAATTTATGAGAAGACACTCCGACAGTTTCCTTGTTAGTGGAATCCGACGAGAGCGCACTACATGACCTCACTCATAGGCCGATTGCCAACGACTGACGCTTCCTGCAGGCAGGAAAATTTCAGGGCTGTGCATGACTGTCCCCTCCACAACTCCACCAAAGGACGCCTCTCACGCATCATTGGTTTACGCGGAAAAAAAAAGGTCCGATACTTTTTGAACAGACCTTGTATGTTCTCCAGCAAAGCAAATGATACTTATTTTAATATGTAATGGCAGTTTAGACTTTTGTCTAGTCAAACTGTTAAATGACTGATACTTAAATCTGTTTATCAATATACAATATTATCCAATACTCTGTATCTAGTATAAACTAGGTCCTAGATCTGTAAAATATCAAGTATTATGTAATGCTGGCTTTGCATTACATGATGTAAGAAACTTGTAAAGTTTTTTATATTTGCCTATAACTTCATTTACGGGCATATCCAGGGTGTGCTTACAGTGCAGCATCACATTGATACCAAACCAATCAATTTTATTACTTTGAAATAAATATAATAATGCTTTATTGCACAACTTCAGTTAAGTAACTAAAGTAATTCTAAGGTAATTAACATTAACCTGTGTGCCTCGGTCTCCTTGAATCTGTCTTGAGAAGCACCTGTGTTCTCAAAATCCTACATGTGTCACTGTTATCATTGCCTAAAGGATACACCAGTCACACTAGTGTATCCTTTGGATTAAGATGATAAAATTTATGGTAATATAGCTTCATCATTTCAATGTATATATTAAAGCAGAATAATTTTTTACAGAAATTTTAATGCTAATAAATTAATTATTGTTATAATGACTCCATTCGATAGCATAAAAAAATGATTTATTAATTTCTGATTTTTGAATTTCACGAGATCGAACTGAATCATGCATGCTTTCAATTTATTAATATTAAATTACTTATTAAGAATACAATTATTTTAAATACATTTCCAAATAAAACTAATTTCTGGTATGTGGTTTGCAATCAAATAAATGATTTATAAGAAAAAGATGCTTTATCAGTAATTTTCTATGAATATATGTATCTTAATAGTTGAATACAGCTGTTGTGATATATTTGCATAAATAAGTAGAAGAATAACAAGTTTAATTCTTAAAAGTTAGTTCCACAAGATGATGATATAACAGTTTCAAAGTTTGTTCCATTACCAACAAAATATCTGGCAAAACACCTTAAAAGCAGCTTGCATTTGTAAAAGGAGTTTTTCTTTTAACTCCATCCTGTGAACACTAAGAAGACCTCTTTTTTTAGCAAATGTGTTATGGATTCAGCCAGGCCCACAATGGGGCAACCAGGTGGTGAGGAATGGACTACAGCTGAAATTTTTAGGGTTTTTTGATTGCCCAAATTCAATCACATTTCCAGAGCAATAGGTTACCACCTTAACCACTCAGACATCAGGTCAGCTGAAAGTGGTTTGAGGTAAATTATTTTATTAATCACATAAGTGAGTTAATTTGGCTTTTATATCTTATATAATAATAAGTTCTCATTTCAGAAAATATTTCATATAACAAACAAATAATTTAGCATATTCACTACAAACGTTTTACAAAAAATAACATTCAGCCTTATTCAGTATAATACTGTAATTCTTTTTCCTTTTAAAGTAATCATATATCTATTTAGAGAACGCCAAACAATTAATAATTTTATCATTTATATTTGATGATAGAAAAACAGATAGACACCAAGGGTTATTATCCAATATTTTAAAAATATATTCTTTCTTTCACAAGTAAAACACATCCTGTAGCTAATATGTGTCTCTTAGTTTTTATTCACAGGCAGTAAAGAAAAAATTCTTGCCAGGAAAATCCAAACAGCTGGCAAAGAAGAATCCAAAATTACTTAACAATTAATAGTAATGGGCCACATCTGAGAAATCGTGTTACTGGGTAACAAGTGTTTGTTATTTATCAATTATTTGTAATCATTGCAAGGTAGAGCAATAACTTTATTCCAAAATCATAACAAACACATTGATAAATTAACAGTGGCCTACCCAATTCTGTTCTTATCACAGACCCTAGCACAGATTTAAATGAAAAACTTGTTAGAAGAAAAATAATTGTATTTTTTCAAGTGTTTACCAACAATCTTTCCTATATAGGAAATTCATATAAAATACTCAATCTGATTAGCACATCAAAATAAACTAAAATAATTACTAAGTGATGAGATTTTTCAATTTACCAAGAAACTTGAGATTCAAGATTTTTGCTTTAGCACCTAATGTAACTTTTTCCAAATGAAAATAAAAGGAACTATGAATGGTAAAATAAATACATAAATATTTAAAGTTTGAAAAAATATCCTAAACTCCTACATAGTAGGCAAAATATGCATCAATGTATGAGAAGTGGTGTTGGATATACTGACACAAACACCTTTACAAATTAAACCATTTATTTTACATAAAGGTGGGCAGACTTTCTTAATTAGGGTATTAGTAGTGAATATGCTAAATTATTTGTTTGTCATGTGAAATATTTTCTGAAATGAAATCTTTTATTCTGAGATATGATTTTAACCATATTGTTTACTGGATGACAGTTTCGGTATTACAATGCTTTATAAATTGTATAAGATTTTTGTTCAAACACAATTAACATCACAATATAATTATATCATCAAAATAATTCATTAGTTTTTACATTAGACAAAATTTTTTGGAATTTAATTATTATTTAAATTAAGAAATATTCAAATCTGTATGAAGATACATATAGTGTATCACAAAACAAGTGTTAAGACTATAGCAGTATTCCTGCATACATTTATTTAAAATATATAAGATTCCTACATTCTGAATATATAAAATACTGAGATTATATCATCTGGTTTACAGAATAATAACTATGATACAAGAAATATTAAGAATGCAAATCACTATTCAAAAAAATATAAAATTGGCATGTGTTTTGCTGCTAGAATAATGTTTTAATTTGTAAATATTTATATACAGTATATATGTAGAATATTATAAATTGTGTAAAGCACTAGTTTCTGAAATTTTAATTTTTATTTAATTGATTATAGAATGTTCTAATTTAATCATTCTAATAGCCATTGAGTCCCTGATCTATATAACTAATATAATTAGCAAAGAACAGTAGCCTATCCAAAAAAACGTATCCTCAGGTCAAAACCTACAGTAAATTTTGCATATTTTGCCTCTCCTACAGAGTCATTTATCATTATTAAACTAGCTGCCATGATGCACACCCAAAATTACTATAGGGATACAAAATATAAGTATTGAAGAATATTACAAAATAAATATTGCAAGAAAAGTGTTGTTATAAATAATTTTTACATTGCTATTTTCTTCAATAAATAATTATTTTATTAAGTTGGATATCTTTTATTGACTTCAAGAACTGCTCTTGAACTTCCTGATCCCTTCACAATGACATAAATGTAGGGTTCTATCAAAGTCAATTGTATTTTAAATTTTTAGCTAGTATACAAGATAAACAAAACATTATTTAATACAAATAGCAATATTTGAAAAAAGTTTTTAAAAGGATATTTTTAACTTGTGGACTCTGGGAGTCCACAGGCTACAGATTAATGATCACTAGCTTTGATTATATTCTCTTCCTGGACAGATGGATTGCACCTTTGATTAGGATGCATAATACTGCCTACCCAATACATATACATGATAAAAATATCCAATAACATGCTAATTTACTATACTTTATACTTTTTTTTTTAACTCTTTGCCCTGTGGGCACTAAGAGGGCCTTTTTTCAAGACCAGTCACGTTGGACTTAATGACGATTTCACTGGTTATTAGCATTTACAATATTTTATAAAATACACCCCTACCCTCAAAATTAAGCTTTTTGCCATTTTTATAATAGTTAAAAGTATAAAAAGTTTTAAATAATAAAATATGATGGCACCACCAAATGCTGCCGGGAATGTTAAGAAACTCGTTGCTGGATTTTTTCAATAGCTTTGAATTAGCATAGGCGTACATGGATGCAGTTACATGCAACATACAGAAAATACTTTCTAAGGTTTAACCGAATCCTGTGATTAGTTTTATGGGGTTCTGCGATGCAACAATGGGTGATCTGCCAAGGAAGATACTTCCTGGAAGACTATGGGAAACTGGCCATATTTAGATATTATTCAGGTACTTAAAATCTGATAAATTCCACGTGGCCAACGAGGGTTTTTTGAATAAATGAAATTCTTACTGGTTAGAATGTGTTTTTTTTTTTAAGAAAAAGTAGTCTTAAGAATTAATTTTGTTATTAAAAAATAACGTTAATTTTATATGGTTAGGAATCAGTAGAAGTGTCCAAGTTTTCTCCAAGCCTAGGCAAAAATCCCTAGCTGCCCCTCTTGGTAGCCTGCAGGCACGAATCCACGACCAACTATCAGTATTCGGTGAACACTAGCAAGTTTATTCACTCGGCCACTAATAGGTAACTGTAAACGGTGAAAGTAATACTAATATTGAAATTATAATTGCACTAAGTATTATAAAAAAAAAGCGTCTAAATTTTCACAAGTGTCAAAACATAATTCAAATCATAATTATCATCGCAAGGTTGCGCAATCTTCTTCTTCTTCTTCTTCTTTCCTTCTCTGATATGGAGATTCAGGCTGGTCACCTTTTCTCCGATGAACTCTTGTCCGCAATTAGTCAAATCGATATGTGCGTGCTACGTAACGTTCGAGGGCCTGCACGTGCTGTCTAGGTGAGAGGTCTGTTCTTGCCCAATATATGGGTGTTAAAGTCTTGATGATTGCGAGATCGATCTTCAGAGTACAAGCGAGTTCTTGTCGGGCTTCCGTATATCTCGGGCACATCAACCAAAAATGTCCGGATGTCTCCTGAGCACCACAATGTGGACAGTCTGGTGAAGCACATAGGTTTCTAGAACAGAGGAACCCGTTAAGAGGGGCAGTGTCAGTTCTTAGGCGGGCCAAAAGGGTCTCCGCATTCCGAGAAGAAGTGTGCCTGTAAGGCCAGGGGGCGAAGGGTCTAAGGTGGTCTCGGCCTTTATTACGCAAGTGTTCTGACCACAATTCTGTGATCTCTATTTTTTGTTTTTCTCTATACTCCCGGATTAAGTTGCGGGCCATAAGTGACCCACGCCAAGAGCCTGAAGGGGTATCTGTTCTCGCGGCTCTGTCCATCGCCTCGTTGATATCAATTCCCACGTGGCCAGGGGTCCACCCGATTTCTATGGGTTTGGGATGTTGACTAATATTGTCCGCGATGTCGATAAGAAGTGCCGGGGACGAGAAGGAGATATTGCCTATCTCCTGTATGGCGGACTTACTGTCAGAGCATATGACTGACGGACCGTCTAGGCTTGAGCTTAGATGTAACGCCCGTTTTATACCCAGGGCTTCTGCCCCGTATACACTGCAATAGTTATGTAACAGCCAGGTCTCCCTGATGTTGTGGTCCGGGAGGACAATCCCTATCGACGTGCGGATCCTTGACTTGGAGGCATCTGCCCCTATGAGGATCCTTCCCTGCCAGATTGACATTTGCATCTCTCGGAATCGTGCGCATGCGATTTCTGGGGGTTCCGAAGGAGATCGAGTAAGCTCTTCTAGGCGTAAGTGAGGATAAACCTGGGCCACGTTGGGCGGAGTATGTTTCTGCCGATAAAGGTGGGATATCGGGAGGCCCTCCTGACTTATAAGGGATATTATTCTGTGTATATACGGTCTCTGATACGGGCGCCAGCGATAGTAATCTAAGCCATGTGCCATTTGAAAAAGCGGGTGCAGTGGGCTATGTAAGCCCCTAGAGATATGGGTGATAGCGCTTGCCAACGCTTTTTGGCAGAGCCTGAGATGCAGTGGTATATAAGACGTTTCAGTGTATAGCGAGATGATTGAGGTGGTTTTAGGGACGCCCAATGCGATACGGAGGGCAGTGTGGAGTGGTTTTTCAATACGTTGAATTGTAGTGGGTGGCGCGCCTTCCAGCAGGTTAGCACCAAAGGTCGCCATTGAGCACATCACGCTATACGTCATCCGAAGAAGGTTGTCTGTTCTAGCACCATTCCGGCGAGTAGCGAAATACTTAAGGAAGTTGTCGGCACGAGTCAGTTTAGTGCGCAAATAAGTTTCGTGAGCTCTCCAAGTGAGAGTCTGAGTGAAAAAGATGCCCAAGATCCGTATTGATGTGCGCTGGGGGATGGGACCAGAATTAAGAGTCAAGAAGAGCGAGGGGGGGGGTGGTTCATTTTTGGCGAAAAGTCTATGGCGGCGCTTTTGCCTGCAGTGAAAGATAGGCTCCAAGTCGTCGCCCATTGTTCTATATGGTTCAATGCTGTCTGTGCACAGTGAGTGGCCAGACTTGGGCTGGTACTGCTGGAAACCAGATAGAGGTCATCAGCGTAAAGAATCACCATTACATTAGTGGGCAGTACCGACCATAGGTCGGCCATGTATAGTGTAAAAAGGAACGGAGCCAGCACACTACCCTGCGGGATACCATGTGGGTAGGCCCTGGGGTGGGACAGCGCCATTCGCCAGCAAACCTGGAAAGTGCGATTACGAAGAAATGAGGTTAGCCACCTGAGTAACCTCCCTCTGAAGCCATAGTGCTCCAGTTTGGCCAAGAGGCCCTCTTGGCAGACGGAGTCGTATGCCCCCGCCAGATCCAAGGCCACCAAGTAGACACAGTGACGTCTCGCTCTTGCCACTGCTATGTGATGGTGTAAAACAACCAGTGCTTCCTCTACCCCCCTGTAGGGAAGGAATCCAAAATGATGCCTGTGGAAAATGTCATTCCGGACAGCCATGATCTGAATCCTGTCTAGAAGCATCCTTTCAAACACCTTAGTTATGTGTGATGTGAATGAGATAAGGTCGCGCAATCAGGTTTACATACTGTATATATAAAGAAATAAACAACGAAAAATTTCGAACTTAGCCAATCAGAATCAGTTTATTTATGGCACGTGATCTATTCTGCCAATCATACAACTCTAACTTAAAACTCCAGTAAACCGGAAGTGCCGCCATAATTTGTTTCTCGACAAGTCTATATTTCTATAAGTCTATATATATAAGTCGAGGAAATATCTAGTCCAATAAAACCATCTAATCCAACAGACATCAGTTCCGCACTCGGATCAGTTCAACAGTTCCAGTTTCAGTATTTTCGATAAAAAGCACAGGACTTATTAATTTAATAAACCCCTTAACGCCCGACTGATTTTAATTATGATGTAATCAATCATAAAAAATACTTAAAACTGAAAAAAAAAACGAAAAAATGCGTTAATTTTGAAGAAAAAGCTTCAAATTTTATTTTCCTTTGTCTCTCCTTTGAAATTTAACACCGATGAGTCATTGTTTACGCAGCTGGATGACCTTGAACACAGCTGGAGTCCGATTTCCCGGGGCATTCTCATACGTCTCGGGAGGACAAGGGTTTAAAGTAGGGTGACTATAAGCGACACGTAAATTTTTAAATATTTTTGAAAAATTAAGATTTTAATTGCGATTTCCGACTCCCCCCTAATTAATTAAATTAATATATAAAAAAATCGATTAATTAAAAAAATTAAAAAACTATTGGAGGTCGTTTTTGACATCAGAAAGCAGCTTTAAATAACTTTACCGAAGGAAAATATGTGCGCTACAACTTAGGAACCATGAAATAAATTTGATAAAAAAAACTCCCATTAAAAAACAATTAAGCCTTAATCGAGCCTTATCAAAGGCTCATTAAAATCGCGATAAAATTTTTTCGCGCGGGCAAAAAATTTTGAAAAAATTTGGGGACCTAAAAAACATTCCAAAAGTTGAAAAAAAAAATTGTCAAAAGTGGCCTTAACTCCCGAATTTTACGAAACGCTATATAACCTAGACGAGTTATCTCGTCAATGGGCGTTAATTAATGAATACGAAACATCAGGAGCATGTGTGCAATGTACTGATTTAATATAGTAACTAACTTTTTCATATGTACAGTACTTTCTGTAACCATTGTCTACAGTAATAACATTTTTTCCTCAAAATTAATCCACAAAACTAGGGACGTTCGAGGGCCCAGTATTTTAAAAATGCTAGTAACCGCACGACAAGATCACGCCAATAATCTGTATAGATAAAAATAAATTCTTGTTGTAGCTCGGTGTCGATTCCGGGATTTAAGCAATAACCATATAAACTTTGATCCAGATCGGTTTAATTAATTAATTAAAAATAAAGGTTTGTATAATGAAAAAAGGACAATCTATTATCAAAAATCAGGAAACGAACAATTTTTTCCCAACGGCCCTACCATAGGGCGAATGGAGCAGCCGCTGCAGGCGCTAAGTCCTAGGGGTGCCTCAGTGGTAAAGAAAATTAAAGGGTATAAATTAGGGGCAACCAAGGGGACGGCATAATAGGATATCGCTCCATCTTAAAACTTGTCTCGGGCCGACACTGGCTAAGATGGCAGCGCACTGTTCTCGAGATCCAAGACGGTCCTCAAATCAGGACGGTCAAAATCCCCAGAAATTTTTCGGTGTTGGTCTATCCTGGATCTATTGGGCCCTGTCTTTTACTGTCTTCCCATTCCATAATGAGTTTGCAAAAAGAGTTTTAAAAACCGTACATAAATTACTTCTATTAAACCAAATGACTTACCCAATGCATGAATTTAATTGAGGTATTATTCTCCATATGAATTGGATCTTCATTCTTTAATAACGACTGAAAAGAATCTATTATGTCCATTATTTCGTATTTTAGTGATGTATTCTCTCGCTTTTTCATTCTTCTATCGAAGATTTTGCAGTTTCCAGGTCTTTTTCTTGTGTTACTTTTTCCAAATCAGAGCAATTTCCAATACTTTTGGAGAAAATTGAGAAATATTCCAATTCGTACAATAGAATCTCATTTGTATTATTCGAACAATAGAATTGTATTCTTATTATTAGTTCGCTAACAATAGCAAAAAAGCACATTCTAAAATAGTCGTCACTGATGATATCGCTTGATTCCGTCATATTTTTTTTTAACGTATTTACATTTTCATTAATTACGACGAATAATTGGCTAATTTTCGAAATTGATTCGAAATATCTAATTTTTTGAAATAATGAAACTTTATATTCAAAGTTTCATTATTTCAAGAAATTAAATATTTTATAAATAACATATTGAATCTTGCAATGCAAATGTTTCATTGCAAATTGATTCTAGTATTTTGCAAGAAAAAATTAGTAATGGTTATTTGAGTTAATATATACAAATTTCATGCTTTTCCTGATATATTTCTAATTCGATGGCTGGATGGCCGAGCGGTTAGGGCGGCAACCCACCGCTCTGAGGAGTCCTGAATCGAATACGGACGTTTCGAAAATCTTAGGAACTTTTCGGGGATAATTCGTCCAAGTACGTCGAGTCACCCGTTGCGGGCTTGGCCGAACCCATAAATGGACTCGCTAAAAATGGTTTTCTTAAAGCTCTTTAAAAAAAAGAAAAAAATCGGCGAGAAATTATAAATGGAAGTTTCTTGAAACGTAATGTCGTGATTGGTCTATTTTTTAAAACTCCTTCCGTCCTGTGAACACTAAGAGGGCCTCTTTTTGTAAGCCCATTATGGGTTCGGTATTGCTGGGTGGTAAGGGACGAGACGATATATCCGGACGTACCACTCTCCGAAAAATTCCCAGCAATTTTTCGACCCGTTCGGATTCGATTCTGGGTCCCCCAAAGCGGTAGTTGACAGCTCGGCCATCCCGTCGCCGCCGTGATTGGTTTTTTTAAACTCTTTCCGCCTTGTGGGCACTAAGAGGGCCTGTTTTTGAAAGCCCATTATGGGTTCTGCCAGGGCCACAATGGGACTGCCTGGTGGTGAGGGACGGGGCCTGGTATATCCGAACGGACCGCCCCTCGAAAAATTCCTGGGGATTTTTCGACCCGTTCGGATTCGAACTCGGGTCCACCAGAGCGGTAGTTTGCCACCTTGACCGATCGGCCATCCGGCCGCCGCCGTGATTGGTTAGAACAGTTTAGTGAGAGATTCGTGTAGTACGGACGATCGAGTGTCAAAAACATTCTCAACTTGGCCACCGGAAATTTTTTAATTTAACTTTAAATTGTAAGAGAATAATTTAATCAAATAAAACAAAAAAGCGAGAAAGAAAGCCAAATTTTCTAACCACAACTGATAGGATCTTTTCATTTTTTTTAACAACTTAAAACCGAGATCCGAAGCCTCAACTTTGAATAAAGTCGAATATTTTCAATTAGATACAAATAATGCAGATCCAACTAGTCACGTATTTGTCCCATAATACTTTCAAATGGCAAATACTGTATACTGTAATTTACGGCGTATAAGACGCGACTTTTATTTTCAATGTCTTTTTTTAATAATAGAAAATAGTCCTGCATGTTATATGCCAAGCAGCGATCTCCCATAAGCTAACGAATTTCCCAAACGACCTTCATTAGGCTTCAGATAATCACTATCAAGCCCAAAGACTGAATAATCGAGTAATTAAGATTCTGGGGAACCCGGGATCGAATCCAGACGGGTCGAAAAACTCCAGGAATTTTTCGGGTCATAGAGAAAGGCCAGCAAAGCGGATTCAAAATTAAAAGAAAATTATAAACGTTTATTTATTTTTAATAGTTCGAGATGTAATAACATAAATTTTTATAGTTTTATAAATACAGTATTTTAAATTTAATAAAATTAAAATGTTGCCGCTAAAGGCGCTGTTGTTCCGCCACATTGGGCGCGAAAGTTTGTGTTGCTTGTGTAGGATCGTTCGAGAAGATTGGAAAATTGACATTTACGTGTAAAGATGAATCTTGCAGACGAGGTATAAACGTAAAACGGTAAATTTGTGACAAAAAAATTCGCTCGATTAATTCGTTTTCGTTTATTTTAAATAGGACAGGGCTAGAATTCCGATATTACCCGAAGAAAAATTAATAGAATTTCTGAATAGATTTTTATACTTAAATATTTCTAAAGAAGATTTAAATAATGTAAGTATTTATGTCTAAACTCGTTATTTTTAAATTTATTTAATGCCATAGGCAAGAAATACTGTACAGCCAATTAACAACTAGGACGAACGTCACTAATCCGACGTCGTTGAGCCTATTTCTGTTTTTCACCGGATGCTCGTCCTCTGGTGTTTAAAAACAAATCTGGGTCGTTTGAATCATTTTTGTGTATTGTCAACGGTAAAGATGTGTGGTGGTACACCAATATATTTTTTGTTATATTTATATATATATGTTTTTCTATCTTTCCTTCTGTGTTCCTTTGTCTATACTTTCTGGAACTTTCGTCCAAGTAGGGGGTGGTCGATGACCTAATTAGGAGACAAAGATTAGAAAAAGCCCAGAGGGCAAGTGAGAGACTAGTGGAGTACTGTTGGCTTTGGACCTAGAAGAGGGAAGACCGTCAGAGAGAGGTCTCCAGGGGCCTTAGTCTCGAGTTTTTCGTGTTACAACTCAAGGTGTCACGTGGTACCATCTCACACACTGACGTCAAATTGGTAGTCTCGAGTTCTAACTCACGTGTTTTCCCATCTCACCATGCGAGTTGCTACTCATGTTGATTCGAGCATGTGAGATCGCTACACAAAAGTAAAAAGGGCTGACGGATACGCAATTCTTATCGCTATCGAAGAGTTAGAAAGAGCCAAAAGACATTGTTTGAGAAGGCAACGAATTTTTCGACCACGAGTAGATGACATTTCTTTTCGTGTCAAGTCAATACTAATAAAAAAAACTTTAATTCATAATTGATAAATGTATACAGCAAATTTTTCTAAAAATAAAAAGAAGTATCTAATTCATCGAAAAAGAGTATTATAATGATAGTAAATTATATGTATAGATTATTAAAAGCATAGACACTACATTAAGATTATTTATTAATCAGAAGTGTTAAGTTCTGATTAATAAATAATCTTAATAGACAAAACAATTGAAGAAATAGATCAAGGAAGAAAACTATATGAAGAAAGGATTAAGTTTAAATACATTTTCCATTACATAACAGATTTTTTAGGTTCAACACACGCAATTAATTTTTCAAGTAATTCTCTCCACAAAGCGAATTGTCTTTTTCTTGTAAATTCGTTGTCGAATTTTCCGCTGTTAATTTTCTTATTATTTTCTATACATGTTACTAATATTTCTTTTTGTTCTTCGTATATTTTTTAAAATAAAACATTCGAGGTTTTCATTTTGTTTCTGCGTACTATATTGCCACAAGACAACTTTTAACTGTAGCACGTGTAAACTAATTCGCGTTGATTTGTTTACAACTTGTTACAGTTAAGTTGATTGGTCGAATCATTATAGTCGCAAACCCAGATGCATTGTAAATAATCCCATCATGCTTATCGACAAACGTAAACAAGTGAATATGAGGTAGTTCCGCTCGCCTTTCGAGTTCACTCGAAGGGTCTAACTCGAGATTACCGATTATGTGAGTCATAGTAACACGAGTGAATTCGATGACGTCAGTTTGAGTACAACACGAAAAACTCAAGACTAAGGGCCCAGGTCGGTGTTGCTTCGACTGAAAGAGTCACGAAGAGCACGTAAGAAAGAAGTAGCGTTGATAAGGACATTGGTAGGCCAAAGATAAAAGACATTTTTTTAATTGATTCTCGCATGCGATCAGTCCCCAAAAGGAAAAATCTCAAGACGAAGTCATCCAGCAGCCATCACCTCGATAGCCAACTCGGGTACCCGTTCCTTCCTAAAAATATATTTCTGTTTCTCTCTTCTAATCTATTTTTTTTCTTCTTCCTTTTCTTTTTAGATATAAGTAGGTTTAAGTTAGAAATTAAGTATCTCTTTGTATCGCGAAAGTTCTTGCTCGACTGTGAATCGAAATAGGTGTTGTTTGTTCTTTTGTTGGAAGTAAGGAATCAGGAGGTCGGAATCAACAAGAACCTTTCCTGTATAAGTTCACAAGAAAAAATAAAGCATGTCTTATTTGTTTTATATACCTGTCTCTTTGTGTAAAAATCAACCCTCACCACGTGCTTATAACTACAGATGAATAGCAATAGGAAAATCAATGCATTCTAATGCCTTCCAAATTCCAATTTTAAAGCCATACGGTAGTCTAACATAAGTTTTTCATCTATTCCCACAAGAAAAACAGATGATTATTTGGAAATTAGAATTGGAGAAGCTCATAAATATAACCGATGGAAAGAGTGGATTTGACTGTTAAGAATTGGAAAAAATTTTCCGATTGTCCAGCTTTATACGAACAAGTTTTGCTGTTAATTTTAAAGGATTTTTTCTTAAAGTTTAAAATGCTCATAATTTTGTGTGGGACACTGAGCCGGATTTAAGCATTTCGAGGTCCTAAGCTGAACTCTGTGTGAGGCCCCTTCACATTTTTAGAAGTCAGTCATAAAAAGAAAAGAATTAATATAAACATATTAACTACTTTTTATTTTGTGTAGTATTTAAAATATATTTTGTCGGTTTGTAGAAAAATTTTTATTACAAAATTCAACTTAAGTTTCCCTTTTGTAGAAATTTTTCTAGAAAAAGATAGCATAAATGTATAGAACGATCTTGCTCATTTTTTATAATACCACATGTAATGACATGTCCCACTAGCAATAATTGTTCTCCAATAAAATTTCTCGATAAACAGCTACAAACAACATATATTGTTATATTGGACAATGATATGTGATTAATTTTACATTGACTGTGTCAAGTGGTGGGTTGGTGCGATGACGTGGGAAATTTGAAATTATGCTAGCGACTTTAGCTATGGAACTGGATTACTGATTGTTGGATTAGTAATGGTTAACCTGTGTAATGTCCCTTTAAAATTACATAAAAAACACAAATAATAATAATACTATAAGTTAGAGCAAGGGTCACCAAACTTTTTTCACAGCGGGCCAGATAACTGAAAGAATGACAAGCTTGGGCCGCATAACCATTTTGTTCAATATAGTATATTGAATACACAAAAAATAAAGAAAACCAACATATTTATTTACCAATACACAAACATGATGGCTGCAGCAAGCTCATAATCACTTTTCTTAAAAATATCATTGCAGGTACTTACAGAAAAAAGCATTCTGATATCCAAAGTTGCAAAAACTTGCCAAATTTTTTATTTCACTGACTTTCCTAAAAATTATATTACTGTCAAATGCAAAAATCAGATTGGACCAATTTTGGCATTTTTACTTATACTTATTTTAATTTTTTCAACATAAGTTCATCTACAATCTATGATACCTCCATATAAATAATTATATTTTAGTTCATTTGTGGCACAGTGCAGCAGCAAGCCAGATAAAGCTGACCGCATGGGCTGGATCTGGCCGGCGGGCCATGCTTTGGTGACCCCTGAGTTAGAGTGTATTGTATAAAAAACAGATATTTATACAATGTAATGGTAAAACTGCTAAATGGCGATTAGTTTGATGACATGAGACACTATTATGCCATTTGTAGATTTGCTGGATGTCCTTTATTTTGATGGATGATTTTTCATTTTAGTTAAATGCCATATCTTTTATTGAACCAGAAAAGGTGCAGATTGCTGTTTATTTTCATTTTTTGATGTGTGTTCTGTAATGGTAATTGTGGATTTTGTACAGATGTGTGTATACCTTATATATGAATATAGGGTATGTTTAATTCATAATCTGCTCTGTTGAAATATATGGTTAATCATTATATATTTTAAATTCTAAATTAAGCTAAAATTTACAAATACTATGAAGAAAACTACTTTTTAAGTCAAAATATAAAAGATATAAACAGAATATTTATTAATCATGGAATTATTTAATTTTACTTTTTGATGTAGAACTGCATCTTTTCTTGCACTTGGTAGGGAGTAACCTTGGGTGCATGGATGCAACAAAAACATGTTGCACTTTGTATGCTTATATCTTTAAAACTGTTAACTGTAGAGTAATAAATAATACATCATTAGGTAGTCTATAAANTTTTGTACAGATGTGTGTATACCTTATATATGAATATAGGGTATGTTTAATTCATAATCTGCTCTGTTGAAATATATGGTTAATCATTATATATTTTAAATTCTAAATTAAGCTAAAATTTACAAATACTATGAAGAAAACTACTTTTTAAGTCAAAATATAAAAGATATAAACAGAATATTTATTAATCATGGAATTATTTAATTTTACTTTTTGATGTAGAACTGCATCTTTTCTTGCACTTGGTAGGGAGTAACCTTGGGTGCATGGATGCAACAAAAACATGTTGCACTTTGTATGCTTATATCTTTAAAACTGTTAACTGTAGAGTAATAAATAATACATCATTAGGTAGTCTATAAAATCCCATTTATAACAAGACATGTTTTGACACTCCACCGTCCCTTAATCCTCCTATACAGTCATATTAGAAAACTAAACTGTTTTTTGCATGATTTTGTTTTGTCGCATGTTATTTCTGGATTTATAAGTAGTGAATAAATAATAATAATAATAATAATAGCTCTCCCGTGGTCACCACCTGGTTGTGGTAGGAGAGCCCAGTAGTTTTACTGATCCATAGGGCAATGCAAGCTGGAGCAGAAGCTCCTGGTAGGGACACCCATGCCAGTAAGGTCTATGGGGAGAAATGAAGCTAAGAGTGACTACACACCCACATTCTGTGGAGATATTTATGATGGTAGTAACCAGATCTAAGTATGATACCGGCTCGGCCGTCGCCCGGGTTAACAAGGTCCGCGTTCTTGGGTTAGGCAGAGGCTCACGTTCGAAAAATAGGCTCCAGTCTCCCTTGGTTACCTTTTTATAATACCACATGTCATTACATGTGGTATTATAAAAAATGAGCAAGATCGTTCTATACATTTATGCTATCTTTTTCTAGAAAAATTTCTACAAAAGGGAAACTTAAGTTGAATTTTGTAATAAAAATTTTTCTACAAACCGACAAAATATATTTTAAATACTACACAAAATAAAAAGTAGTTAATATGTTTATGTTAA